GGTTGGGAGTAGTAGTCTTCTAGGCTCAGGCTTGAACCCTCGTGTGGCATTTTCTGCCGATCAATCAGTTGTTGCTGCAGTGAACCCTGATTTGGTCACCGGTACATTTGGTAGGGCTTCTCAAGTGGATAGCCAGTCCACTGTCCCGCCTACCGCTAACCGCGCGAGTGAGTGGTGGGGAAACGTTGCCGGGGGAAACACATTGATTCCTGGGGCCGACATGAATAATTCAATGGAGAGGCTGGGTGGGGGTCTGCTTAAAACAGTTCCCAGAGCTCCAGAATTCAACGGCACTGATGTGTCGTATCCCTCGTGGTCGCAGAATTTTCTGCTCAAAGCGCGTCACTACAATCTGCTGGAGCCTTTTGTTTCTGATATTGGTGTTCCAATTACTGAGATGTCGTTCGATTTGTCCCCTTTGGTGGAGAAGGGATTCAGTGTTGGGATGTTGCGTCAGACTGAAATGGCTTGGTGGTTTCTGTTTGATTGCCTCAAGAAAGAAAGCTCAAAGAATATGGCCAGACTTGCTGGCACCCCCTTTAAAGCTTTTCGTGCGCTCAAAGACCACTTCTTACCCTTGAGCCAGAGTCAGATTCGTGTGCAGGAAGAGAAACTCAAATCGCTACGCATGAAGCCACACGAAAATCCCGCAACTTTCTTTTCATCGATGAGAGAGACTCTTGGAGTATTGCAGATGCTTGAAGTAAAGAAGGAAGACAGGGAGGTTTGCAATCTGATGCTTGAGGGACTGTCCCCCGAGTATAAGAATCTGCGTGAGACTCTTGTGGTTTTCGGCTCGAATGAACCGTCGTTCATAGAGACAAAAGTACGTGAGAAGTATCTTGACTTGCAGGCCCAGGGTGTTTCGAAGACGCAAGGTAGTGTTGCTCTGGTTTCTAGGCCTGGCAAGAAGAATGGCATGAAGCAGCGTCGTGTACAAAAGTCTAACTCTGAGTCCACTCCCTCCACGAAAAAGTTTTTTACGGGAAGGTGTTTCAAGTGTGGGGAGCAGGGTCACAGGAGGTCCGAATGCAAGGCTCGCTTCGTCCCGCATCCTTCGCAGACCGGACAACCTGAGACCACCGAGGGAGATAGTGGTGAGCAGTCTGTTGGTGCACGCCTATATGATCGTATTACTCGCACTCAAAACTCGATCGCTGCACTGTCAGAGGATGCTGATCGTAAGCTTGATGCTGCTGTTATGCATGCGTATTTTGCTCGCTCACACAAGGTGTTGATAGTGTCAGCGTGTGAATGGTTGACAAGCATGATGTATGATGTTTCTGGCCTGAAGTGTCTGCTGACGTCGCGAGATGATCTGGTTATGAGTGCTGTCAGCAATGATATGATCCTGAACGCTGTCAACAAGTCTAGATATGTCGAGGATTGGTATGCTGATACTGGTACTGCTTTCCACATGACGGACTCTCTCGCCTGCATGAAGGACTTGAAGCCATGCCACAAGAGTGTGAATGGAATTGGTGGCGTGTCGTGTGAAATATCTTTCTCTGGAACGCTGGAGTTGGTGTTTGTGACTGCTGACAGTGAATTTTCCGTGGAGTTGAAGAATGTGCTGTACTCTCCCAACTTGGGGTATAATCTCTTTTCTCCAAGTGCAGAGTTTGATGGCGAATCATGGAATGGTCTTGGTGGTCCTGACGGTGTGATGACTGCTTTTAAAGGACAAGTAACCTTCCAAAACTTCGATGGCATGCTGATTGCGTCTGCATATCGTCTAGGAGAAGCTTCTGTTGGCACTGTGCTTGCAGCCCTCACTCCATCAAACCCCAAGCATAAAACCACGATGGATGTGAACGAGTTCCACAACATTTACGCTCATT